ATCCAGTGCGTTGTGATTGGCCGAATACCTCAAGCGTGTGACGGAAATGTTACGCCCATTACCATATTTTGATGCCCTGTCCGGCCGGAGCGACGAGACAAAAACATTAAAACCCAAACCCAATATAAGCGAGGCATTTGTAGCATCGCAGATTGTGACTTATAAAAATGTAAAATTTTCAATTGTAATTGACTTGTAAAATTGAGAGTATATGTAACATGTATATGTACATAAAACAGTCTGTGTTTATGATATGACTATATAAATCGCCATATAGTGATTTTCCAATTTAAAATGTGACAATCTCATAGCAACTCGTAACTATTTTACATTTTAGCGAATAAATGGCTAAATCTGCTCATGCCCCAGTGAGGGTTATGTTGGCTTAGGGGCAGGCCTTCATGCTTACTTTTTCTAAAAATCGTATGTTACGATTCACATAGTACGAATTCATACAAAATCGCCACACCGTAAAATACATATGTTTTCCCGTGAGACCAGGTTGGTACTGTATAATACATAGTGACTGTATGGACTGTTTTAGGAATGGGAGTGACATTTTTTGGGGCAAATTTTAATTTGACGATAATTCCAGTGTTATGCTTCAGGTTTAATGGTGAGTGCAAGGTAAAATGTACGTAGGCTAGCTAAAATTTACAACAATGAAGGTAAACTAAGTTTCGAGAAAGACAATAGGACTTCTTGTCTCCAGTTCCAGCACTACAATTACAACACATCAGTAATGGGAAAGACAAGTTATTTTTTTGGTAGTAAACCAAAAAAATTAACATGGAATAAAAATCAGGGTTTTTTTACACAACACCGTTTTCAACTAAAAATGCATTTTGGCCATTCATTTATACAACAAGATTTTGGGGGCCTGAAAACGAAACATTTGAAAATGGGTTTCAAAATGCGAGGTTTTGAAAACTATACCGTTAGCATTTCTGTGAAAACCACAAAACATGAATTTGTGAAAATGGCGATGCAAATGCGATGTGTTAAATCTATAGGAATGTGCAGGAGAAGTGACATCAACTACTGGCCTGGCATGCATAATACCGCGTTTTAGTTGTTTTCATGGATCCGTTTGAACAGGGATTGTTTTGACAACATTGCCGCATGCAAAACTTCTCATAAACGTAAAGTTTCAAGTTGAATTTATTTATAAAGCACATTTAAAAAACCTTGGTTGACCAAAGTGCTGTACAAAATGGTGTACGTTCATCACCCAAATTAAAATAGACATTCACAGAACATTGAAAGTACAAGAATACAAATAGGTTTTAAAAATACTTTTAAACTCAGACACTGTAGTCACTGTTCTGATAGATAATGGTAATTTATTCCATAATTTGGTTCTGGCTACTGCAAAAGATCTGTCACCCCTGCATTGCAATCTAGATCTGGGTACCTGTAGAAGATGACTGGCCTGTGATCAGAGTAATCTGGCAGGATTGTAATCAGCAATCAACTCTGAAAGGTATTGAGGAGCTAGATTTGTATTTGTATACAAACAACAACATTTTTAATTAAATGAGATAAAGAATCGGTAGCCACTAGCCAGTGCAGAAAACTTAAAATAGGCCTGATGTGGTCCCTTTTGCGACTGCCTATGAGCAAACATGCAGCTGCGTTTTGGACCAGTTGAAGTCTATGAAGACATGAGACAGGCAGCCCATGATACAGCAAATTGCAATAATCAAGCTGTGATGATATAAAAGCATGAATTACAATCTCTAAACACTTTCAGTTTAGGAAGGGATTACACCTTTAGCTAATCTTCAAAGGTGATAAAAATTGGAATTGACAACAGAATTGATTAGTTTGTTCAGCTTTAGGCCACTATCCAGAATAAAATCCAGATCCTTGACATCAAGTGAGCGATATGGAGTGAGAGAGCCCAAGTCTACAGCACTCAGATCAGTTTTCTCGGTAGGCCCAAACAGAACAATTTGTGTTTTGTCATCATTCAGGTGCAGAAAATTATTGGTTAGCCATGTTTACAATTCTTGGAGACAGGCTATTAATTGATTTATGGCAGACCTGTCTTTACGCCTAAATGGTATGTAAAGCTGAGTATCATCTGCATAACAATGATACGACACACCATATCTCCTAAATATAGAACCAATGGGTAACATGTACAGTGAAAACCGCAACGGTGCCAAAGTTGAACCCTGAGGGACACCACATGTAACATGCGCTACAGTAGAAAAATGCTTGCCTATATTTACTGAGAATCTTCTGTTGGACAGAAAGGTCCGAAACCAGTTGAGTACAGTGCCTCTAACACCAATGCAGTGCTCCAAGCGAGACAGCAAGAGACCACGGTCAACAAAATCAAACGCAGAGCTGAGATCTAACATCATTAAGGCCATAGTATTACCAGCATCAGTAGACATTAAAATGTCATTAAAAACTTTCAAAAAGGCAGACTCTGTGCTGTGTAGGGTTTTAAAACCAGATTGAAAAACATCATAAATACTGTTACTATTCAAATAATTTTGCATCTGCATAAACACTATTTTTCCAAAACTTTTGATAAGAACGGCAGATTGGAGATTGGTCTAAAATTTGAATAAACTTCAGGATCAGTTGAAGGCTTCTTAGGGATCGGTGACACAGAAGCTAGTTTAAAACAATCCGGAACAGTCCCTGTCAAAAGGCAGTTGTTTATGATATTCACTAAATCAGGTCTGATTGTATCAAAAATTTGTTCTACATATCGTGAGGGCAAAGCATTGTAGGAAACTTTTTCCTCGTCGAAGCAGAAACCAGGAGACTTTGGGATATCTTTCATACAGAAGTCACTCTTTATTGAGAACTCGCTGTGCGTCGCTGCAGTCATCCAAGTCTGACTAACGTAGTGATACATTGTGTTTATATACATTTTAAGGGGGTGGGATACATTCAGTAGAGGTGGAGACAATCTAACCCATAGCATGCAAATGCAATACAGGAATCAGCCCGTTACCGGAATTTCTCCAGCCCTGATCTCATCAGCATAACAGTGTCATTCAAATGCATAGGTGCTAATCCAATCAGTCTGACAGTCCTAATACCATCAGCATAACTACTCAAAGACTGGGGCAGAGGCACCAAGAGCCATTACAAACAAAAGGTGATTGTCTCAGTAATCTGGTTCATTTTACTAACAATAAGAGAACAGGAACAGACAGGAACCTCTTGCCACACCTTGCTCAAGACAATCATTTGTCCGATGCAATTTACCCTAAACGACTTCACCTTAGTTTTTCATGTGATGCTATGTCAGAACATAGGATCAGCATATTTTAAACAGATTCTTAAATTTGTAATCCCACAGCATCATGAGGGGAAAAGGTGGATTTTAATTTTAGAGTGATTTCTTTACATGTCTGTAAAGAAACTAATTCAAATCCGCTCCATAGAGTAGTGGATAAAATGGGGTCTGGAATAGAATTCGCCATCATAGATAAATGAGCCCAGGCATTTTTTACTTTATCTAAGAAGTACTTAAGAAAGTTTTCACATAAGAAGAAATCTCTGGAAATTGGTGGATTTAAAACAAGGGAGTCAATAGTTGAAAATAGAATTCTAGAAGAGTAAGAGTTTTTGATTGTGCAAGGAGTCTTTCAGCATTTAATAAACTTTAAGCCCATCCTTCTTCCACTTGTGTTCACACTGGTGATACTGCTGTTTAAGCACCTGAATATCGCTGTTCATCCATGGTTGGGATTTACGTTAAAGATTGATAAGCTTTTGAGGTGCAATAATGTCTAAGATATCACAACATCTGTTATTTAACAAT